CTCCTCCAGTGGCCGGGGAGTAGCCGGGGATCGAACCAGTGCCGCAGAGGCAGCGGGCAGCTTCGCAACCCAGCACTCAACTGCTGCGCCACCGGGGAGGCCCCAAAGCAGAAAATATATACTTTAAACCTATCCTGTCCCACTGGCAACCCACAGGACATACCTCTGCTCAAAACAGAGCAGGGCTCCACTCAAGTGGCTAGAAGTGGAAGAGTTCAGAATATTTCTCAAAACATAGTTTTATATTATAAAACTCTGGGATAGTCTTCCTTGAATCAGTCCTCCAAAGGCTCAGAATGATTTGGGGACATAGTGAAACTGAAAATAAAGGAAACCACATAAAATCTGCAGTGTCATTACATGGCAGGAAGCCTATATAAGGCTGAAATTTAAGAGCTTGACTTCTGCCATGTCTAATTCCATCCTCTGTCCTCAATTTCCTGAATCTTGTCTTATGTAACATTCTATCTCTGAGGTGCCTTGGTGAGAGTCATTCATTCATTTATGTTTTGAATTTACTCAAGAAATGCTTACTTGAGCACCCACTATTTGAGTTTATAGGGTTGGATATCGTTAGATTTACCAATGGTAATAATCATAGCTAAGATTTACCAGATGACTATTATCCACTGTGGTGTATATATGCATTTGGCACACACTCCCCACAACCCTAGCCTATAAAATAGGTGTTGGGCTGGTTGTTGTTATTTCAGCTTACAGATGAAAAAACCTGAAATTGGGATTGGCTGATTTGCCCAAGGACATAAATTTATTAAGGAATTTATCTGGGATACAAATCCAGTCAATCTGACCCCAGGACTCACATTTTAACATCCTCACTACATTAAACAGAAACATAACTGGCCGTCAAGAATATACATTCTGGTAGAGGAGACAAAAAAGTATGTCAATATGTCTATACTCTGGGCACTGTCCATAAAAGCCACTGTGTTGTAGGAGAGCAGGGACTTGGAATGTCATGGAGCCAGACTATAAAGGTGAAATCACCAAAGACTGTGGTACCAGTAAATAGCTTGAGAAGGAAGTGATATTTGAGCCACATATTGAAGGATAGGTAAGATTTTATAACCGCATCATTATCTCAACTCAAACCTGAATATATAAGAACATGCATTTATATATATATAGGAACATGCATTTATATATATTTATATATATATATTTATATATAAGAATATATAAGAACTTGCATTTTCCCTGCTCTCCTTTAGACCTTTTCGGTTCCTACAACTGCCACATTGATTCATGGCCTGGATGACACTTACCTGAACTCCGCCTCCACTAGGATGCTGCCCCCTTCTCTTCAATTCTCTTCAGCAATAGAGCAGGGAGATATACCTTCCTGCTCACTTCTGGATTCCAAGAACTGGAAAAGTGATTGCCAAATTCAATGGATCTAAAAGGTCATGGGATGTGCCAGGCACATGTGTATCAATCATTTGGGGGCCTGCCACATGATTCCTGCCTGGGTAAATGAGGGAAATACAAACAGCAGACTGGGTTATTGACCCCAAAGTCAGCATTTTGGGCCTAAGAAGTATTCGGAGTAGAAAAACACCCTGATTACATCTTTATATGATTTCACTATTGTGACCCAAAGCATAAACAATGGATGAAACACTGGTCTAAGTACTAGAGAAGCTGGATAAACAGCACACATTAAATCTAAAACAGTTGTTATGAAGAGAGAAGGTCAGTTAGAGCTTAGATGGCTCAGTCCCAGAAAATTAGGTTTAAACAAGAACTTGAAAGTCATCAGTATTTAAACACATGGAAGGAAGTATAAAGAATATTTTAAAGATGATAATGGCATTTATTCCAGTATCTCTCGGAATGATGTCAATAAGTATGACATTAAAAAATTTAAGTGTTCAAGGGAGTGAACACAAAAGTGAAACAATATCTTCCCCCAAGGACCTCTTAAAAGTGCCAAACAATAGAGCATTCTATGAGAGAAAGTTTTGTATGCAATGTTTCTGTAAACTAATGTTAAGTAAAATTGTGTGTGCATGTGTGTGTACAATTGGAATTGGCCAAATTGCCAATATGTAACATGTAATATATAGAACATTATAGAAGATAAAAAATAACTAAATGTATTATCACATGGAACAGAAAGTCCAGAGGGAGGTCAAGCTTCAGGACTGGTTGATTTGGTGACTCAACAATATAAGGCTCCACCCATATTCCCATTCTGGTAACCACAATCTTGAAGCTGATTTTCCTCAAGATCATGGGTTTGGTCATCAGCAGGATGGAGACACTTGATTATCTTTCCCAGAGGTTCAAATAAGCTTCATTTGTGTCTCATTGGTCCAAAGTGGCCTAGATTTTCATGGTCCTATCCTGACCCTGGAAAAGAGAAGAATAACCTGAATCACCTAGAAAATGTGCACACACAAACTTGGGAAACTAGAACCTTCCTTCATTTATTTTTTTACAATCTTTCCTCTCCTTCTAAAACATACTTGCTGAGTAGGGACTATGCTCCTAGGTTACCAGTCCCTTCTTTTAGGAAATTCACCATCCGGTGAGAAAGGAGAATAACATTGTACAATAGTTAGTGTGTAAAGGGCATAATGGAGTCCAGATGAGGGGACCTAATAATGACGTTAGAGGGAATACTTAATGAGGATTGAAAAGGAGAGTCTTATGAGTACAAGTCGTATTTTGGTGTTCTGGAGAGAACATAATTAATGAGGAGAGGTAAAAAGAAAAGATGTTGAGAACAAACACTCTTGCAAGAGGAGTGAAAGGAAGATAATGTGGTACTAAAAAAGAACGTTTCAAGAAAATTGAAGCTCCTAATACAGCAGAAAGGTAAATGAGAAGAATAGCAAATTTTGAACCTCTCAATAGATGAGGAAACTGAGGTTCAAGTAACTTCCCCCACAGTGCAGGGTAACTAGTAAGGGACTATTGCACCACAAGCTTGTGTCTCCCTGAAATTCACATCTTAAAACTCTAAAAATTCACATATTGAAATTATTTTGTGATGGTATTTAGAGCTGGAGACTATGGTAGGTAATTAGGTCATGAAGGTGGAGTCTCATGATGAGATTATTCCAGTAAAAGAAGAGGCAGGAGAAAGCTTGACCTTTCTTTCTACACTCCACCACATGAGGACGCAGCAAGAGGACAGCCACCTGCAAATCAGGCAGGTGACACTCCCCAGAACTGGTCCATGTTGGAAACTTGATCCTGTACTTTGAGGCCTTCTGAATTGTGAGAAAAAAAATTTTGATTGTTTAAGCCACCCAGTCAGCGGTATCTTGTTACAGTAACCTGAACTAAGACAAAACACATTCTTTTAACATATTACTCCAACTTCCAGAGAAAATGGTGAACGATGTTTGAAAAGAGGAACTGTAGTGTCAGTAAAATAGGTGAAAGGCAGAGTGGTGAGATTATGAAGACATAACTGCAGATACTGGAACAGAGTAACTAGGCATGTGATAAAGAAAGCAGAAAGCAATACATGATTTAACAGCACTAGCAATATTGCCATTCTTTCAATAACGTCTTTAAAATTTTCTTAGCACTTGTCTCTGAGAATCTTTCTTTTTTTCTGATGCAAGTTTCACAGTTTAGTGGCAACTCTCCAGCTACTCCTAGGCTTGCTTATTGGTGCTTATTCTTTAACTACATCCTTTTCAGAAAGTCCATCTTGCTCATACAGTAAGCATCTTTTCATTCACACATCTACCTATGTTTTGCTTTTTATTATTTTATCTTGTGTACTTTTGCTTCTTATTATTTTATCTTGTGGACTTTTTGAGCCAGAATCAACATTATAGCAGGAGACATTAGTCACTGAGCTCAGAATTTGTGGCTTCTAGCCCAGTTATAATTCTGGCTGCACACATGAATCAACTAGGAGCCTTTAAAAAAATGCAGTTTCCTGGTTCTCACCTCACATCTCCTGAATGGGAACCTCCAGAGATGGAGTCCAGTTTTTTTTAAGTCACCCAGGTAAACAGCTGCCATCAGAGCAACTTGCGTAGAACCAGTTGTTGGGGACCCTAACTCTAGTTACTGAGTCATTCTACTATTCTTTAGACTGCTATTTTCTGGACACTAGAGCAAAGCAGAGTCACCCTGACTATGGCTATTTTATTACTGTATTTCCCTTACTACAGAGTTACCTCCTGTGGCTTGGGGACTTTGTGGGAAATTATCCTAGGTTGACCCTGTGTTTACTGCAATTTTAAAATCATGTCATAATTATATCCTATCTGTCTCCTACACTTCCTTTGTCTGGAGCTCAAATCTCTTCTCACTAAACTACTGATATTTTGCCTGAATTCAGAAAGAAGTACTCTTTTGCACTGATCTATACTTATAGTCATTTAAAATCAAAGCCAGTTTTCTCATCTTTCATTCATTTAGTCTTGTTCATTTTTCTCATATTACAAATTCACATTCACATCATAGGGAGGAACCTGCCAAGTTTGGGTTGAAGGAGTAAGGAAGACACGACGGGATTTCGAAGGTCTTCAGTTTTTTTTTTCTAGTCAATCTTTAGTGTTTGTGAGAATGATGGTTAATTAGACCTTGCTCAGTTACCTACTTCCATTTCCAAATTCAGAATTTCTCTATCAATAGTTGTGATGTCTGTCTACCTCTTCTAAGTGACAATATAATCTTACGTGAGTCCTTATGTATATGAAAACCATAGAAAAATTGCCTTTTCCATGTTTGCATTCTATGTATTACCCCTTTATAGAAACCTCTTAGTGACAGCGCTGTATAGCATAAGTCATTTCAGCTTTATTTTTACCTGTTTCGGAATTATTTTTTTACTCAGCTTGACTTAATATAATACTAATTTCAATGTGTAAAATATATAGATATCTAATTGAAAATTACTAATACAAAGTGATGGTATTCATCTCATAATGCAAAATGATTATCATGTGTTAGAATTTATGCACAAATACAATATCTTTAAAAAAAATTTATAACTCCCACCTCCAAACTCTTGAGACCAGACTGTGGAAATGATTCCTTCTTTCAGTACACCAGTGGTGTGAAGATTCAAAAAAATGTGGCTGAAAAATTGAGAAATTGAACATCTAAAGTGAAAATGCTTCCTTTTTCCCTTTTAAGAAAATGCTTCCTTTTCTCTTTCAAGAAAATGTTTTAATACATTCAAATGGTACAGGGAATTCCTTTACTCAACCACCACAAGGCTCCTAATTTGTTAAAGATGTCTCTTCTTATGATCGGGAATCATCAGATCCAAGAAAGTCAAAGCTAACCTAGGATTTATTACAAAAATGAGAATTGCCCAATCTTTATTCCCACTTCCTCTCCTTTTGGTTTCTTTAAGAATGAACTCTTTGGGAAGAATATTGCAGTGATGTTCTCAGATCTCTTGATAATATGGAACCAAGCCACAAAATTATTCTCCAGCCCATAATAATTTTCCTCTATCTTAAAATTTTAGATAAAACCAGCAGATCCTTTGTATTTGATTAATAAAGGATAAGAGATCTAATGGTTTACAATTACTAGCAGAATTTAATTATTACAAAAGTTCTTTGTCTTTAAACGATGGTAAAAATTAGTCATTTTCAGTTCAGCAGAAGTAGATTCAGCCCAGCTTTACACATTCTACAATTTGGGCAGCTCAGCTTTTCAGACTCACATAAACTCCTACAGCTGAAGAGAAAATGTATTTGAGATACTCACTGGTAAAGTCAAGATTATCATCATCACAGACACAATTTCTGAAGATAAATATCTGTGGGCATAAAATGAATTTCACGACATTCAACAGGTCCTCTTCCCTTCCTCTATAGTCACTTCTAGTAGTCTTTTAAATGGAAGTTGGTAACTCTATTAATAGCAAGAAACTCACAGCAGTGAATAATTACAGTATTCAGTAACTTGAAAATAGGTATTTTAATTAAAGGATTAAATTTTATAACCTGTCTAATCAGTAGATGGTTTCAATATAATCAATGGGTGGTTCACTTACTATTGGTTTAATTACATCAAATATAGAAAAATATCAAATAAAATTGTTCTGTTTTAGGCTCCATTGTGAACAACACAGACAATACAATACATCCACATAACTGGGAGGATAAGCATTAATATGGAAAACATTTTATTGATTCTCCATTGCCAATAGAAAGATTTAGGTTGAAAATTCTAACTTCAATTTTTTTGCAGAAGCTCTTGAGTGGTGAAATAAAAATATACCCCTTTGTTTCCAAGACTATAGTAAGTTGAAATTTGGGGATATATTTAAGAGTAATGACATACAACTCAATTCATGGATGTGGTGATTTTCCTTTTCCTGTATTCTCAACACTTTTATTCTCTTCTCATTACATTTCCAGAGAAATTTGCACATGACAGCACATGCGCACGCTCTTTCCTAGCATGCCCGTTATTGAAAGAAACAAAAGATAACACAAAATAATTTACTTTAAAAAGAAGCTAAAATTGAGTTCCACTAGATCATTATTAAGAATATACTACATGGGGCCTCCCCGGGGGCGCAGCGGTTGAGTGCTGGGTTGCGAGGCTGCCCACAGCCTCTGCAGCACTGGTTCAATTCCCGGCCGCTGGCAAGGATCCCGCATGGCGCGCAGACCTCTCCTGCCGCCCGCTGCTCCCCTCAGCAGTGTACTTCGGGGTGTTTCTGCCTGCTCTGCTCCCCGCTCTGGCTCTGGTGGGTTCTCTCACCCTCCCGCGCTTCTGACTGTACCCAGAGCTTGTATAAATAAATAAATAAATCTTTAAAAAAAAAAAAATAAAAAATAATAAAAAAAAAAAAGAATATACTACATGCCTAGCACTAATATCGATGATGAGGAGGAGACAAGGATGGATGAGACAGAGTTCCTGTCCTCAAGTATTTCAGCAAATACAAGTGTAGAGTCTTAAACAATAGTGTGAGAAATGCTAAAATAGTTATAATGTCCTAATTTTATGAGAAGACAATGAGAAGTACTATTTAATCCATCTGGCAAGGACAATAAGAGTATTTGGTTGGGGGTAGTGTGGTGACACACATTTGAGGCAGTGTGGACCTATTTCCCAAAATCATATATGGGCTGTAAACTAACATTCACCTGATAAAAAAAAGAAAGACAAAATGAGTGTGTGGTTACATTTCACAGAAGAGGAGCTATCTCCTAGAATCTCAGGATTGAAAGGAAAGTCTAGTTAAGAGGTTTCCAGGGCCCCAATTTTATAGAACAAGGAGGTTAAGAAAAAAAAAAAAAAAGAGGGACATACATCAGGTCACCCATTTTTATTTTGCCAAGAGTGGACATTTAAACATTAAAACAACTGGCTGGGGTCTATTGTCATCAGATGCTTTCATTGTCTATTGCTATATAGTAAGCCATTCTAAAACTTAATGACTCACAACAGTAATTCATTATAATCCACAATTTTTAGGTTAGGTGAGAATTCATGCATCATATGTTGACACGTGGGTGGTTGGAAGATCAAAATGAGCCTCACTTACACATCAGTTTGGCAACTAGCAGGAGTCTTCTCCTCCAAATGGATCTCACCATAGGTCTACTTCAGCTTCCTCACCAAATGGTGGCTAGATTACAAGAAAAAAGATTTTATGAAATGCCAGAATAAGTTGAGATATCTTATAGCCTGGCCTTGAAAGTTAAACAGCATCATTTCTGAATGCAGTTTATAGGGCCAGACAGATTCAAGGGGAGGGGAAATAAATTCCACCCTTTGATGGAAAAGTGACAAAGTCACATTGCAAAAGGTCATGTGAGATGGGCAGTTATTTTTGTGGCCATGTTTGGAAATATTATCTACCATCCTACATTTTATAAAAAGACAGAACATTTAGGACATAATCTTAGACTAAAGGATGATCCTTTAAACTGAATAAATCTAGATTAGTGAAAAACACTAAGTGGTTTATATTTTTCTCTATTCACTAAAGAGAGTGTGTGGTTGCATTTCACAAAAGAGGGAATATCTCTTGGTTGGTTTAAAGTCCAACTAAGATTTGGAGACCAATTACTTAAACCAGCAACTTTTATATATACATAATTACTTATAAGAAATATGTCTTAGCAACCCAGTGAGCACACACACATACATTAAAAAAAAATTAAAAGTTTCACAAATGTTGTATTTCAAATAATTTCTCTTCTTCTTTTTCTATTTCATTTAAAAAATAGTACTGTTACTATCCCACTAAATATAATTTTATAATCTAATAATTGAGAAATAATCATGGTTTAAAAGAAGTTTTAAACCATTCCCTTCATATTCTTTCTCTATTGAACACCTTGAGTAATGGCAATTAGACTGTTGACAAAGACAGTTTCCTTAGCTTGATCAGTTCTCTGTTAGAAAATCATCCTTTCAGTGAAATTTGCATTTCTTATGGGTTTTCAAATGTTCTTTTCCTTTTTTAAAAAATATATATTTATTTATGCATACAGGAACTGGGGTACAGGCCAGAGGTGCAGAGGGGGGTGGGGTGGTGAGAGGATTCACCAGAGACAGAGTGGGGAACAGAACAGGCAGACTGACTAGAATACACTGCTGAGGGGAGCAGTGGGCAAGTCAGGAGAGGTCTGCTGCACCATGGGATAGCTCCCTGGCCGGGGGATCGAACTCATGCTGCAGAGGCTGCGGACAATTTCATAAGTTGCATCTTAACCCCTTGCACCACCATAGAGGGAGGTCCCTCTATGTTTATATACCCACATTAGTCAGGTTAATTACAGTTGTCATTGCAAAAAGAAAAAGGAGGAAGACAAAAAAAAAGGAAAGGAGAGGAATTAAGCAGAAATTCAAATCATCAGTGGCTTCATGCAATAGAGTGTCTGATTGGAACTGCTTAAAGCATGTGTCTCTAGGTAGTTGGGAGCTTTCTTCACTACTGTGTTCCCTGAATCCACAACAGTACCTTGAACTAGAGTTTTTCAACAAAACAGTTTATCAACAAGTACTTTTGGCATGCATCAATCTAAGAATGTCACTTTTTTGTGTAATTTTAGTTCAATGGTATCATTTTTATGAAGAACCTCAACCAGAAAATGAGGATAGAGCAGTCTCGCTCACAGAGTTGCTATGTGATGTAAATTTAAGGAAGAATCAGTGTAAGAATCAGGGCCAAATAGAACTTCTGAAGGTGTCTGTGTGGTCAGAGGCAAGTTTCTGGGTCTGAGTCAACAATTCATTTAATCTGAGTCACACATGCTAAAGCAGAGAAAGCACAGCTAGAAGACCTAGAACAGACCTGAGTTTATCCTGACCTACATCACTGACAGTTTCAAGTGAGATATTTGTATTTTATAATATTCAAAAATTCTTTTAATTTTAGGATAGCTTTAAAATTCCAGAGAATTTCTATCTGCCCCATTTCCAATTTCTTCTGTTATTAACATCTTACATTACTATGGTATATTTGTATATTTGTCACAACTTAATGAAACGATATTAACATATTGTTAACTAAAATCAGTTATGTATTTGTATTTTATTAGCTTTCCCCTTTTTCTCTTCCAGGATTCCATCCCCCACCCCCACACCACATTATATTTCGCCATTATGTTTCTTTCAGTTTCTCTGGACTGTAACAATTTCACAGACTTTCCTTGTTTGTGATGGCCTTGGCAATCTGAGGAATACAGGTCATGTATTTTGTAGAAAAACCCTCAGTTTGGATTTGTTTGGTGTTTTTCATCATAATTATACAAGGACTGTAGGTTTTGGGGAGAAAGACTACATCGGTAGATGTCATCCTCAACACAGCACATAAGGACATGTGCTACCAACATGACTTGTCAATGATGATGTTTACCAGGTTTCTCTTTAACCAACTCTTTAGAAGCAAGTCACTGAGCACAGTCCATATCTAGATTGGGCTGTTAATGCTCCATCTTCTTGAGGGTGGTGTACAAAAATTACATGGAGTTCTGTATAGATTTGTGTTTCCCACAGCTTCATAAATTAATTAGGTAATTGAATCATATATCTAGACTATGTGCAGTGGTTTTTTTAATTTGTTTTGCATGTTATAATTCAATCTATTTATTTTGATCCATAAATGGTACCATTTGGCCTTTAAATCTCCTTTAGTAGGGGCCTCTCTAGTGGCGCAGAGGTTAAAGACAGTGCTATCAAGCTATCACCAGGCACTGTAGCATGAGTTCGATCCCCAGCCGGCAGCAGACCTCTTCTATCTCGCTAACTGCTCCCCTCAGCAATGTATTTCAGTACATCTGCCTGTTCTGTTCCCCACTCTGTCTCTGGTGAATCCTCTCACTCCCCACACCCCCACCTCAGGCTTACACCTCAGGTCTTGAATGCATAAATAAATAAATCTTTAAAAAAATAAATCTCCTTCAGTAGACTCATATGTCCCTTTGACATACCCACATCATTTCATTTGATCATTCTCTTATTTATGGGCACTGTAAGATGATTCAGGTTATCTTGTATATTCCCTAACCAAGCTCTAGGACCAATTATTTCTCTAAAAGACCAGAGATTAATTTTTTCAGATAATAATGTTAGAAACCATGATTTGGGGGAGGGCTTTGCTCATTGATACTGAGATATAATGCTTCCATCTCCTCTTAGCAGACAGATCCTGGATCGATCTATCTATCTACACACTAAATATACACATATGTGTACATACACATACTAAACCATGGCTGCACGTGTCTATTATTATATTTACATGGATCCATCAATATCTATATTAAGCTAACCATGAGTTCATAATCATGTTTCTAACTCTAGTCCTGTTATCTCAGGGTTCATTCTAGTCTACAATGCAATGTTTTTAAATCTTAAGCTGTTCATGCCTATGTGGCATTGACTAGTAAGGGAAAAACAGAAGACTAATTAGGAACCTCATCAGCCCAGGAGAGAGAATTTGGGGTGTTATTTTGAGCAATCTCTGGAGATGCAGTGAAGGAAGTCAAGTTAGGAGCAGATGGAATTACTGATGGCATTCAGCAGTAACAGTGGCAGATACAAACTAAATGCCCACTTTATAGCATTGGCATTAAAAAAGAACTATGATAGATTCAAAATGGTAGACCTTACTTTCTTTCTCATTTTTTCAAGCATAGTTCTGCGTTTGCAATGCAGGCTTCTTGCCATTGGGGCACTAGACTATAATGAAGTGATGAGAAACAAATAAATACATGTATAAATAAGTATATGGTTAAAAACCCTGCTGTGGGTTGTGAAGAAAGAGATTACGAGTGAGATTAAAGCAGGAACCTAACTGGACTAGCAATCTGTTTTCATGTTCTTTGTTTCCCTGGAGCACAGAGGAAAAGACTTCAGCTTAACAGAAAGATTTAGATTTGAACATTTCTAACTATAAAGGATGCTGAATGTTGGAGTGTTTACCAAAGAGAAGTCGGGTGCTTTCTACTCTGCCTTTTTGAGGCGGGCTAATTGACAGAGATGGTTTCCTTTATTAATTCTTCTACTACAAGTCATTTTCAGTTCTGCATTTCCATGATGGGGGAGGGGTCCAGATGCCACTCTGGAGCCTGGGTTCTTCATGTGGTTTGTCTCAAGAAAACTCAAAAACAAGCTCTTTCTCCCCAGTGTTTACAGGAATCTCAAACTGGGTTACATAAAAGGAGCGATTTATTTACATGCAGCAACACAGGAATAAAAATGGCTGTCCTGTTTGCTGACAGGAATACTTTGCCTAATGTCACTTATTACAAACAAAATGCCTTTCGTAAACTCCCCAACACATTTATTAAATATATATCTTAGTGTTTTGAGAAAGCGTGGGAAGTGGTTTAGTAATTACAGCTCAGAGTTAACGCAGTTTACCCCCCACTTACTCAATTCCAGTTTTCAGATTCCCACTGCGTTGCTGGGACCCCTGTGGACCTCCTAACCATGTATGCCTCCTTGATAGTTATCTTTCAAACCTAGCAATTATCAGCCAAGTCTTCCCTGCCGCCATAGTGGCCAGAACCTCCTGACCTTAAAGACTTGCCAGGACCCAGCCTCTGCTTCTTCTTACTGTGTTGCTGACAGCTGTGTCCCCCACATTATGATTGTGCAAACCACATTCCAGAGAATCCGCTCTCCCAAGCTGTGTGCAGCGTGTTCCTATTCATAATTTATTTAATGAATCCTCTATCTCCTTTTTCTTTTCTCCCATGTCCTCTATCAAACTCATATTTTTTACCCACTCTGCTCTTCCAAATTACCTTTCCCTCTGTACTATTTCTAAGGACTTTTATCTACTCTTTTCAGTGATCACATTTGAGATCCCATTCACTGGCTTCCCTGTGCTATCTATCTTAACTCCCTGATTTTGCTGGAAGGCAGTGTAGTATGGTAATTGAAAGCATGGACTTCAGGGACAGATTTCCTTATTTGGAACCCTGACTTCTCAGTAGCTGTGAAACCTGAAGCCTGCTTTAGCTTCTCTGAGCCTCCATGTTCTCAACAGTGTAAGGGCAACAATAATAGAACTGACCTCAAGGTCATTGTGAGGATTTGCTATGTTGTTATATGGAAAGTGCTTGAAAGAGTGTCAGGCATATAATCAACCCTATAAAAATGTTGACTGCT